TTTTTTTTTTTTTTTTTTTACACTTTATAATGTACTTCTTACAATAAAACTACAAACAATCTCATTTATAACACAATGGAGTTAAAATTTTTATTTTTATTTACAAAAAGAATACATTTTTACTCAATAGTGAAATATGTGTCCTAATAGTGTTTTCAGCAATGTCAACATCTTAAAAAAGGTGTATGAGGGTTTCATAACCCTTTAAAAATCTTACTAATCAACAAAATTTAATTAAAACATTTAATTTCAGTTTAGTTTTTTTTTTGTAGCTCAGCAATTAAACAAACAAAAAGTAATGTTAAATTAGACATGACAATCTCTGATCTCTTCTCTTATTGGTTGGTGGGCCAAATCAAAGGTTACCACGGGCCAACTTTGGCTGGCGGGCCCTAGTTTGAGCAACTCTGCTAGAGTATTGTTCATCAATGTTTGTTCATGTTAATTCATATGACATACTGAGGTAAAGTTGGTATTAAACTCAAACATTCATTTAGTGACAACTTGTGACGTGCTCTCTATATCGTTTACCATGGTATTTTGAATATTCGGTCTGAAATCACATGCAAATGACTAAAACAACATTAGCACTATTTAATTAAACAATGTTGAACTTTGATAGTCAATGGCTGCTAATATGTTTCCACTATTAGGAATTTGCAACATTTGTAAATGTATAAAAGGCACTATTTGTTTAAATTACATATTAAATAACACAAAATAAACAAAACAATACACGTTATATGTAAATGTATATTATCTTGTTGTAGTACAACATGGTACACTGGCATTTTGCTTGTATAATACAGCATATATTATATTATATAGCATCAAGCAAGAATACTTTTCTGAAATTATATTATTATTAAGAAGAATGTCCAAATGTGTGCATTTAAAACAAACTTCACCTCTAAATGGGAGCTCACTGTAAAGTGCTCTCATAATGATTAGCTTCATTTAATTACCCACACGACGATGGATTTCACAAATGAAACTTTTATTCAATTTAACTCAATTTAAAGTTACACATCTCCCATTTATGAATGGACTTTGTGTAATAAGTAGGCTACATAAATAAATACGTGTTGTAATAGAGTAAATGTCAGTTTTACCTGTTTGTTGGGAGTGTGTCGGCTCGTTATGTCGCGGTGTTTGTCATTCCAGCAGAGTTCATGGAGGAATTATTTCAGATTAAATCACCAGAACAAACACACAGACTCATTCAGACGGGAATACAACACTTCCAGACCGACCAGCGGAGCGAACGGGAGTCCAGGAGTTTATTGTGGGTACAAGCTTGATAAATCCACCTGTTTGGTTTGCTGATCTCTCGCCATTTCACCGTGTTAAACTTCAGCGGATCTCCAGAAGCGGCTGAGCAGGTGAATCACGCACATACGGGACTGACGGAGCGTACAGAAAAACTACCAGGTAGAGCGGAAGCGACGGTTAAACAAGTGATTAAGTGGGCGGAGCGGAGTGGAGTGGAGTGGATTCTGATTGGACAGGTATATAATTATGTTAAGATTAACTGCTTTCCCAGTGTTGGGTTGCGGCTGAAAGGCCATCCCCTGCGTAAAACATACGCTGGATAGGTTGGTGGTCATTCAGCTGTGGCGACCCCTGATTAATAAAGGGATTAAGCCGAAAACAAAATGAATGAATGAATGAATGAACAAGGCTATCTGGCTTATCGTTTATTCAGATGGATATTTTTTCGTGTATCTTTGTGTTCTTTTGTTTATGAATAAATAAATAAATAACACATTTAAAAACACGTTATATGGTATATAATAGCAAGCTATTTAAATACTTAATAATTTGTTAAATGTATAATATACATTATTTTGATTACATATTAAATAATCCAAAACAAACAAAACAATACATATTATAGGTAAATTATATAATTGTAGCACAACATAGGATACTAGCAGTTTGCTTGTATTATACAGTATATATTATCTTATTAAGCAATATTATATGCAAACACACACACAAATGAGCACCCCGACTCTCCTGTTTCCACCAAACTGCTCATCTGGAGCTCCACAGGGTCAATATATAGCTATATTGCTATAGCCAAACCTTTGGTCACATGTGCCAGTGCCAACTGTTGGTTTTATTGGTACCAGGAGAGAAAATTCTTGGGCTGTGGACAATGTGAAACATTTAATGTTCTCTGATAAGTCCACCTTCACTGTCTTTTCCTCATCAGGGAGAGTTACGGTGTGGAGAAGCCCTACGACCCAGACTATTGCATGAAGCAACAGTGACGGTTTGGGCTGCAATATCATGATATTCCCTAGGCCCAATACTTGGATGCTGGGTCACTGATTATCAGGATGATAATGCATCAGTAAACACAGCAAAACTGGTGACAGTGGTTTCATGAACATGAAAGGGAAGTTGAATACCTCCCATGGCCTACACAGTCACCAGATCTAAATATTATTGAGCCACTTTGGGGTGTTTTGGAGGAACGAGTCAGGAAATGTTTCTCTCCATCAGCTTCATGTAGTTAGGGGGCCACTATTCTGCAAGAGGAATGCACACACACAAACACACACACACACACACACACACACACACACACACACACACACACACACACACGATAATTTTACAGGAAAAAATACTATGATTATTATGTAATTCATTCGTTTTCCTTCGGCTTAGTCCCTTTATTCATCAGGGCTCGCCACAGTGCAATGAACCGCCAACTTATCCAGCATATGTTTTACACAGCGGATGCTCTTCCAGCTGCAACCCATAGGATACATCCACACACCCTCCTTTACACACACTCATACACTACGGCTAATTTCGATTATTCAATTAGCTTAGTGGTTAGCACTGTCACCTCTCTCAGCAAGAAGGTCACTGGTTTAAATCCCTGCTGGGCCAGTGTGCATGTCTGTGTGGAGTTTGCATGTTCTCCCTGTGTCGGCGTGGGTTTCCTAGACATGCGCTATAAGGGAATTGATGAGCTAAACTGTCCATAGTGTATGTGTGTGAATGAGAGTGTATGAGTGTTTCCCAGTACTGGGTTGCAGCTGGAAGGTCATCCGCTAGGTAAAACATATTCTAGGAGAGTTGGAGGTTCATTCCGCTGTTGTGACCTGTGATGAATAAAAAGACTAAGATGAAGGAAACTGAATGATGAATGATTATTATATAATGTTATGTCAAAATAAATCATATCAATAGATGTATTACTTACAGAAAATGAGTTATATAAACAACAGCAATGAAAGGGTACTTCACAAGTTAACTAATCAACGAACAGAGATAGTACAATTTTAACACCAGTTTTCTTTATTTTTATTTTTTTGTATTAGATTTAGTACTTTGTATAATTGACATATATTATTCTGCATATTTAACATACTAAAGCTATTTAAGATATAAAACATTTAAATGTAATGCATACTTTAAAAATTTGAGTACACAAACAAAACACACTGTATATATCGCCTGACCGCTAGAGGGCAAAAGCGTGTCTGTCATGAGCTGAACGAAATGCGCGGATGCACAGAAGAAGTAAACACAACATCTCTGTATGCCACCGACTTGTAGAATCACAGAAAATAACAGAGAGGTGTAATATAAGTTCACTTTCTGAAGATCAGACATGAAACTGGTGCGTATATTCGCTTGATTAATACTGTGATTTTTATGTTAACGTATATCAGCTAACGCTAGAGTGACAGTTACTCCAGTGCCCTGCAGTAAGCTTGATAATTGTGTGTGTGTGTGTATGTATGTATGTGTGTGTGTGTGTGTGTATGTATGTGTGTGTGTGTGTGTGTGTGTGTGTATGTATGTATGCGTTTTATGTACGTGTAAGGTTTGTTTTGTGTAATGTGTATGTGTGTTTTGTGCATATGTGTGTTTTGTGCATGTGTTTGTGTGTTTTATATACGTGTGTGTGTTTGTTTTTCGTAATGTGTGTTTGTGTAATTTGTATGTCTGTGTGTTTTATGTATGTTTGTGTTTGTGAATACATTGTGCAGTTGTGTGTTTTGTGTGTGTGTGTGTGTATGTGTTGTGTGTGTGTGTGTGTGTGTGTGTTTGTATGTACGTGTAATGTAATGTGTGTGTGTTTATATATATATATATATATATATATATATATATATATATATATATATATATAGATAGATAGATAGATAGATAGATAGATAGATAGAGATATATAGATGTGTGTTTGCTTGTTTTACCTAATGTGTGTGTGTGTGTGTGTGTGTGTGTGTGTGTGTGTGTGTGTGTGTGTGTGTGTGTGTGTGTGATCAGTACTGTCTGTCAGGTCATCCCACTCTGCCCTGTAATGTCCTCAAGTTTAAATCCACCACCATCATGCTGGACTGTGGTCTGGACACAACAGCGGCTCTCTATTTCCTGCCCCTGCCTTTAGTTCACAGGTCAGTAAAACAGCTACAGCACGCACACACACACACACACATCTACACGGACTTATACTGTAAATACTGCTTTCATAACCTGGATCTGTCAGAATCTGAACAGAATATTTGTTTGTGGATTAAAGAGCATAAACGATGTCATACAGCTTATCTTATTGTTTTCTTTACATTACAATGCATCCTATTCATTCATTCATACACACACACACACACACACACACATCTATATATATATATATATTTTACCATGTGTCACCAGAGACATGAAACAATACATTAATATATATTTTCTATAAAGATATAGGCTCTATTATTAGTGCTCACTCATACATAGTAGTTATTATTTTTAATGATGTATAATATATGTTTTTATTTTTGTGGAAGCTGTGATGCATTTAACTGCTCACGATATTTTGATGAATAGAAAATTGATTAAAACAGTTTAACATGCTACATCTAATCTGCTATACTACTATATTCCTATACTATATTTACTATTAAAATATATTTTATTTAATTTAATAATGAGGCATATAATTAAAGTGTTTATTTAACACTGATGAAAATGGCTAAATTAATTAAATGATTTTGTTAAGAACCATTTGACTGAAATATATGAAATAATATTAAATAATCATATCATATTAAATTATGTGATTTACTTGATAAAATAAATAAAATTAATTCATCGAAATCAAAATATGATATAATAAATAATAATATAAACCAGTGCCAGTTTATATATAAAAATGTTCTCTGCATTTTCATCTCATTTGTATGGAGAGAAATAGTTGGGGGAGGTCAAATACACTCTTTGTGTTTAAATCTGAAACAAATCCTTCAAAAATGGTTCAATTTTTATCAAAAGTAAGCGTTTTAGATTTTTATCTTATGTATTATTTATTGCAGTTGATGTGTTTTTATGGTTGTATATTTCTAAAAACAAGTTTTGTTGGATTTACAGTCCACGATTATCTAAACTCCCAGGATGGGTTTCCAAAGACGGAGCAATAAATCTGGAAAAGGTGAGTGCCAAATTAAGGCCAGACAATATAAACTATAAATATATATATCCATAATAATGCACATAAAATGTTTTAAACGTGCTGAATGTGTGTTGTAGGAGCTGAAGGAGTGCTCAGGACGCGTGTTTGTTGACTCACAGCCTGAATTTTGCCTCCCTGAAGTAAATATTTCCCCTTCGCACTTATAAAACCTTTATGCAGTCTCTCTTATACAGTTGAGGTCAGAATTGTTTGCCCTCTTCTGAATTTCCCAAATGATGTTTAACAGAGCAAGGAAATTTTCACAGTATTTCCTATAATATTTTTTCTTCTGGAGAAAGTCTTATTTGTTTTATTTCGGCTAGAGTAAAAGCAGTTTTTTATAAAAAAAAAAAAAACTTAAGGTCAAAATTATTAGCCCCCTTAAGCAATACATTTTTTGGATAGTCTACAGAACAAACCACTGTTATACATTGACTTGCCTTATTACCCTAACCTGCCTAATTAACCTCGTTAACCCTTTAAATGTCACTTTAAGTTGAATATATAAAAATGTCTTGAAAAATATCTAGTAAAATATCATGTGCTGTCATCATGGCAAAGATGAAATAAATCAGTTATTAGTAGGGATGTAACAATATTGTAAATACCGTCATACCGCAATAGTAATTTTTTCAATATTACCGTAGGCGCATGACTCAATAAAACAATATTTCTTTATAAAAAAAAACTATATTTCAATAAAACTATATTTCTAGGTTTGCTCAGGCGAATGAAGCGAACGGGAGGTAGCGGGAACTACAATTCCCATCAGCCTAGGCGTGGCCATCATCCTTTGCCGTCTGTTGTCACTACAGATCCAGTAATGCAGAAATGGAGAGTGCTGCTAGTAGCGGGGAAGAAAAAGAGCTGGAAATGATCGAACCTAAAGCGGGTTTTAAATCGTATGTGTGGAAGCATTTCGGTTTCTCTAAAAAAATACGAAAAAGGAGAAAAGGTGACAGACAAAGAAAAAAACGGTGTGCAGGCACTGCCAGACTGTGGGGAAATATAAGTCGAGGAATACGACTAAAAACAGTCATGAGGACTGCAGAACACAGCACTCTTGTTAGATTGA